TAAAGCTTTATCTAATACAGATCTAAGAGTCACAGTTGTTTCTTTTATTTTAAAAAACAAAAGCAAAAAAGAAGACGGAAGGAAATAATACAAGCTTATTGTTTCCTGTTGCCCTTGGAACGCCCTGAATGGAACACCTGTTGGTCGGAAGAGGAAATACAAATAAAATATAAGAAATGAGGTAACTTTATTTAGATGGTTTCTCTGAGAAACATAGATCTGGTCATGAGTGTTGACTGGAGAAATCACCAAGTACCCACTGCACGGACACTAAAGCCTTATTCAGATATTTCCCCCTGTTTCTGAGACGGCCAAGTATCAGCAAATACTTCAGGTCCTACTAAGGCCTCTTCAGGGGAAAAAAAATACTTGATACAAAAGACTTATTTTTACATTGTCATTAGAAATATACTTAGAATAGATGACGGTCAAATATCTATTGTGCACTGTTATATTTGGTTATTTTCTCAGGTGTTTTTCCAGAAGTTTTATTGGTCTTTTGTATTTTTATTTTACCTCATTGCCTCCTTCTTAAACAGCTGCCAATTTCTTGTAGATCTGCAAAAAAAAAAAGAGAAAAAAAAGAACAAAGTAAAAAAAAAATTAAACTCTGTAAGGGTTGACACATTAGAGACATTAAACTCTGTAAGGGTTGACACATTAAAATAAAACCTTTTTATTACAATTTTATTTTTAAATTTTTGGAACTGAGACATTTATGCAACATTATTGCAAAATAAAAATAAAGGAATGTTGCTTAGTTTTTATGATATTTTTGAGATATTCTTTGTATATTATTTGATACCCTATATTTTTGGCACACAAAAATATTCATTTCAGATATAAAAAAGCAATTTTGCCTGTAACATTTTGAAAACAAAGAACACGAGGCATTTTTTTTCACTCAGGGTCTTGTGAAGCAAATATCGTACAAATGGTTTTATATGGTTAATTTTTCGAATGAAAAAAACTAAAACCTTAAAATAAAGGTTGCAGAAGGAAACGCAGACACGAAACAATCTCTGTATTCAACACCAATGAGGCGATGCATTGGATGGTGGCGGTAGAATGAATCACCAAGTAGGCGTGGAGTAAATGTTAAAATTTACCACCCCCTACTTACTGTCATTATCCCACCGTAGGGAAAATTGCCCGTCTGGGAACAGACCTGTAATATTCCCAGCAGTCCTCCGTCTGGCTCTTAGCGACACACTCTGTAAAATGACAGTGAAACTGAGGTCACACACTCCACTGTCACCCTGGGGTTAAAATGATAGAGGTGGAACAAGTGTAAATGACTATAACACACCTTCACTCCATGCTTTAATAGATAACCTCCTGCTTTTCTTTGATGGTTACCTCACCACTGTGTTGCCTTGTATGAACGCTTCCGAAAACATAAACACGGGAAGTTGTTAAGTCGGGGCACATCAACGACCAGCCGCACTCATATCGGGGCCATTTTCTGACATAGCAATTTACAAAATTGTAAATACAGTGTGTGCAGTAATGTTTCGATCGTTCAGACCATTTGAGCTTCTGCAAAAATGTATTAAGGCATTTTTTAAAAACACAACAGTGTTCAGTTTCATGTCAGTTCCAAAACTAGCATTTGGTAAAGCCCATGGCATAGACATAGCTTTGCAATTACAATCTCATCATAAAAAATACAATAGGATCATTTCCATTTGATTTATTTCAAATTTTGTCATTATGTTTGGAAAACGCCAGCGTACTGTTTGCTCTCCTCCCCTGCAGGTTGTGCAAACGCTGCATTTAAAGCCCTTCTCCATAAGTTGAGTGCTGCGGTGCAGTGATATTGTTTGGTATAAATCTAATCCTGTAACTCATTCATTGTCCACTGGATACAAGAAGTGCACCTCATGAAAGACTCTGCAGTGAGAACACAGCAGGATTGTTATAATATCTCAGTTGGCTGTAAGTATATTCAGCTCTGTCATCCCTCAGCCTGTTTACGCCCGTACTCAGTTCTGTTTGTGTGAACCTGATTGGAGTCCAATTCATTGTTTTATTTTTCAGCTGGCCGGAGTCACACTAACCAGAGCAAAAAAAAAACCTCAAGTGGACTATAAATTGTAATCAGAATTTTTGCGCACAGATGTGGGAGAGTAGGGGTGCTGTCGGACGCCCCTGGCCCACCGCCTCAAACCTGACCCTGGTGTCTGAGCCTGACAAACACTGAAAGGTGACCTCACCTGCAGAGGAGACTTTAGAACAAGTCTGGCCATTTAACTGAACAAACTGGATGAATTTCTATGACCTCACGAAATGCTAGAAATGTGAGATAAACAGGAAAACACCTGTGAGCATTGTTAGCTAAACAGAGAGTGCGAACATCAAGGTAACTAGCAAAATACTGTACGACTTACACCAGTGGTTCTCAACCTTTTTCTACTCTGTACCACCTGAGAAAACATGGAGCTCTCTGAGTACCACCATGATGACCAACATTAGAATATAGCAGCAGAGGCCTTCACTGTTAGCTTCCACCACAGGAGAGATGTTTAGAAATGTTTATGTTTAAATGTTGTATTAATTATGCCTGGTATGTTTCAGATTTATTCAATTGAAAATGTAAATGTAAAAATATGAATTTTCCCCGCGTACCACCGGTGGTACACGTACCACAGTTTGAGAACCACTGGCTTAGACTCTCAGAGAGATGAAGGACTCTGGTGGACAGTCGACCAGCATTACTTCCTCTAACCTTGGTGTATAACTACAAGTGCAGCACACTCCGAGACACTAACACTGAAGGAGCTCACAACGGGCACTGAACAACAGTTTGTTTTAAAGAAAGGTTATGACTTAGCATTATGGCTTCAGTAAATTATTCATATAGTTGTTCTGCTTCAACATTTTAAAGCGGCAGTGGTTATAAAAGCTGTGGGTTTAGGTGAGCCGTGTCTTTACAGTCACATCCTTCGCTGAGTCATGTTTTATTAGAGTGTAATTGAATTAAAGCAGTATAAAATACATTACATTGTGTGGAATATTTCAGCCCAGAAATCCACACTTTTCCAACCGGAAAAATGTACAGAAATCAAATGGCTGCTTGTAAACTAAAAAAATAAAAAACTGCAGTCGGCCGTTATGGAAGGCTACAAAAGTTTAGCTTCGTGTCTCCTTCAGCCTCAGACTCTGAAGTGAGTGAGCTGACATCAGGTCACCCTGTGCTCCACTTGACACGGAGAAGATGTCTGGGGTGACGGTGAGAGAACAAACCAGAATCCTGTGAACGGTTTAAACACCAGGATGGATTACACACCTTTAGATGGAGTTATGAAATCAATTCTATAGAAAAGACCTGGAACACAGGGTGGGAATCAAAGGAGTGTCGGGAAAAGGATTATCGCCGCTACGTATCATGTGACAAGTGATGTCATTTTCTATTGACAGAGATGAAAACCATGGAACTTCTGAAACTAGTGAAGAACTTTGTCAAATTCTATAGAAAAATCTAAGTAATAGAGAGACCCTAAACCAAACCTGGGCAAACTATGGTCTGCGGGCTAGATACGGCCCACTGGGCTTTCTGATCCAGCCCTCCAAACACTGTGGTAAAGACTGGTGTCACTCTTTCTGTTTCATGTATAAACAAGCAATCAACTGCAAATTCTGTTGATGCCACTAAATGCCAACAGACATCAAATGTATCCATCCATCTATCGATCGATAGATCTATCTATCTATCTATCGACGTATCTATCTATCGATCGATCTCTGTCTATCAATCTATTGATCTGTCTATTGATCGATCTATCTATCTATCCTTCCAAGAGGAAGCATCAGTACTAACTGCATCCAGTTGTTCACACAGCTATAAAAATACTTACTATTGTTTTACTTCATTTTCCTCCACACATTAGAGTCCTCAAAGAGAAGCTCTGTGTTCTTATTTGACAGTTCTAAGTTCATGTTTTTCCCCGGTTTGTATTTAAAGCCTCCAGGCAACAACAGGTTTTTGTTTCTTCTCTTCTATCTCCCAAATATGTTAAAAATCTCTGGCAAATACCTGGATTACATTCATTACGGTCATAGTAGAGATTAATGAAAGAATCTGAAGTACTGCACTGGGAGAAAACGACACACAACTACCAATCAGGTTTCTGCTGAACGTCAACAACACTGACCACTGTTGACCAGCGTGGCGCTGCAAACATCATCTTCGGGCTCATCAGGTCTCTGATGTTTTCTGAGGCCTCACTAAACAAACAGTCAAATGCACGTTGTTGTCATGTCTTTTCAACTTCCTTCAACCCTAACCCTGCTTCGACTCTTTTCAATGTCAGCTTTGGAGCCTTCACTTTAAACTATAAGTCGGGGTAAAAACAGTGGCAGCCTGTAGCTGCGCACTTTCGCTGTTATCCAACATGGCGCCTCTTTTCATATTTGGATCTGCCTCCCATGAGACCTCCGGGGCCTGCGTCAATCACGAAAAATATTCAAAACAGCTTTGACCTCAGTGTTTTTCGGTGAATAATCTTTTTATAGCAGACGGAGTGGCAGAGATGGGCGGGGAGTGAGACGAGGAGGGAGGGAGCAAAGATGTGGATAGAATCAAGTTTTTATATATATATATATACATATATATACCTGTTTTTCCGACGCTGTGAAACTCATACATTCTTCAGAGTGCGGAGCCACCAGCTGGCACATGTCTCTCTCCTAGGGAGCTGATGGTCACAGCATCTGGTTCACATCTCTCCACCTAAAATGGAAAAATAACAGAAAGCTGGAGGTAGACGAACATCCAGCGGTGGGTCGGAGTCTGTCATTGTGGAGGAGAAGAGAAGATCGACCTGTTGATTCAGGCAGGAAAGAACAGTTTTCTTTCTACATCACCTTCGTCTTTTTGTGCTCTTTTAAATGATCAAATAAAAAAAATAAACTTGAAAAGTAGAAACGTAATCAAACTGACCTGGAGCTTTGGTCCTGTCATCGTTTTTGTTTTAATGTTTGGTAATCCAGCCAAAGGTGCTATGTTTTCAGTCTTTGTGTCTTCTAAACAAATCATTCAAATCTTTAATAAAAAATGTTTTAATTGCTACAGGTAAAAAAAAAACATTTGTGTGTCAATGTGTTTTTGGCTAAAATAAACACTAAAACCCAGCAGTAAGATAGATTTTCTCCGAAATATGGTCCGTGGGCAAGTATTCAAGCTAAGATAAACTCGCTCTGCCCCTGAAGTTTGCAGTTTGTGTGTGGGGTTTCTGTTGAAACTCAAAGTCCAAAAACATGAAGACTGGTCATTACAATATGGTAGACTGTTGAGGAGGACCAGGGTCAGCTCTCTGTAGGCTTCAAAGGTCTCATTGAAATTCTCTCTGTGTGGTAGAGCATAATTTAAGGATGTTTTCGAACAAATGTAGCTGCACGGCCTTTAAGTCTGTGGTTCACATATAGAATCAGGACCGAGTTAAAGTTTTGCTGTGCAGTTATTTATCTCAGCCGTGAGGTTACAGTTTCCATGGTTTTTTTTTTTAGAGAATTTGCATGTGATAAATAGTTATCCAGACCTCCAGCTGGATTTCCAGTAGGAGGGTCTGTTCGTGGGACGTGGAACACAGTCACCTGCATCGTTCAGCATCCAGTCGTGTCAAAGGAGAGGGACGTTCAAATAAACAATATGGCTCTGCTTTATATTTGATTATAACCACGTATAATTTTAGACACAGTTAAATGTTGCGTGTGTGCCTCTTAGTTTCCAAGGTAACAAGTAGGGTTATATTAAGAGTACACTAAACTGGGAGTGGAGGAAAAGTGTGAACAAACCTGAAGACGCAATTACAATAAGTACAATAGTAAAGATCAAAAGGATGGTAACACTATCGTCGGAGAACATCAGCGCCACTGCTGACACTGGTGTCATTCAGTACCTACTGGTTCAGGATGTGCAGCAGAGCAGTCGCTCCATCAGACGTCAATGGAAAATTACATACAAAACAGCAGGTGAAACAACGGGCCCCACGGTGGAGGAGTGGTCAGTGCTCTTGCCTTACAACAAGAACAGTGGGTGGGTTTTTAACAGGTACTTTGGTTTTCTTCCACAGTCACAAACAACATGCTGGACTAGGTTGGGTTGACCAAAGGTGGGGGGTGTGATGGACGTCACCCAGTGGCTCCGACCTCAAAGCTTCTTATCATTGAGGCTGCAAATAATTTCTAAGAAAAGTTTACATAAACACCAAAAAGAGCCACGTGTGTAGGGATAAATCTGTATTTCCCACATTATTGTGATTAATTTAAAAAAAACAAAAAAACAAGAACATTGTTAACATTTCGTTGCCGCCCTGAGTTTAGCAGAGCGTCCTCGTGGATTGTCAATCACATCGTCCTTCTTTGGGACCGTGACCTTTCTTTGCAGGGGGAGCCAGACAGCCCTTCCACCGTCTCCGTTCTCATCCTGCGGTTTTTCTTTCCTGCCTTTTTGCTTCTTCGGGCTGAAGTGATGCTGATCTAGGTTTGACAAATCGTCTCCCCTGAGGAAACGCTTGACCAGTCTGTCTTCGAGTGAGTGAAAGGTGATCACACACAGGCGTCCTCCCGGCCTCAGCACGGCCTGGGCCGCGCGCAGGCCGGCGTGGAGTTCGTTCATCTCGTCGTTCACAAAGATGCGTAAAGCTTGGAACGTCTTGGTGGCGACGTGCGCAGGTCTGTGCAGTCGGTCTTTACGCGCGTAGGCAACGGCAGCAGGAAGTGATCCTTAGGACAAAGAAAGCAGAGTAAGGTCAATTATAGTTGTAGAGGTCAAACGCAAATAACAAAGCTGGCTCCAATTACTTCAAAGAAGTCATTTCTTTAACTATAGCACTAAAATATTATTTATTATCTTTAACTTATCTTCTCTAGCCCACAGGAAATATATGTACATATATATGTAGCTACAGTACATGTCCATCTACAGTAAAGCTGTACAGTACTATGTTTTTATTTACAAACTAGAAACAGGAGGGGGCACTAGTGCAACTCAAAGTCTGACAGCTGCCAAAGAAGAAGTGAGCTGACTGTCAGAATTGTTTTTTTAAGCCCTTTAAGAAGAATCTCTTGTCTTCCAAGCCAAGTGCGAGCTGTAGAAGACAGAATTTTAAAATGACACGACCAACTAAATATGAAGCCACTTTTAATAAATACCTCGTGTTATTTTTCTAAGATTTAGTTCTACCATATTTGACATTTTTTCTGTAGTTGCTTTCAGGTAAAAAAACAAAACAAAATAAAAACCCAAAACAAAACAAAAGAGTACAGCCACTTTCTTGACACTTTAAGAAAGTTATGTGTGACACAAACCGCCTCCTGCCGACTCCCCTGTCACATTTCCAGATCATGTCCGAGTAGGCCCGTGAGAAAATACAACGAGGGAGAAGCTCTGGATATTCACAAATACGTGTGTGCGTGGGCGAGTGGCCTGCCTCCTGCCTGCTCAACCCAAGTGCCACCTGCATGTTCCAGACACATTCGCCTGCTGTTCCGAACGTGGCTGACCCTGACGAAATGTCCAGAATTGACTTTACAGGAATTTTTTTAAAGGTCCATATCTGAAAAAAATGTCACTTGTACAGAGTGGAGTTTGAATAGGTTTTAACACGGAGAAAACTCTGTTTACTCTTTAACTTTCAAGCAGAGGACACTGAGAAAAAAAATGGTTTGCTTATGCTCGTGTCCAGATAAGTGCAGGATGGAAAAACACAAGCAGTGGAGATGGAAGGCTGCAGATCTCCTGCCCTGCGGTGATTAACAACGTCGTCCGCTGCTCTTAGTCAGTAAGTCATAATATTAATAAATACCCATACTATTTTTAAGCTCGGGGAATGTTAGATTAGTCTTCCGACATGCAGTTAGTAAATGGTTTGGCTGGGAGCCACAGCAGAAACGGTATTATTCCAGATTATTATTCCAGACCTGTGTAGGATGCACCACAATCGGTCATCTTTTTTTTAGGGTCTTTCTGCTTAATTCTCCACTTAAATTTGGCTAAAGCTGTAAAGTAAAATATGAGATTATTTTTGTTGGGGTTTTTTTGCCTTAAAAAGACACGTTCTGTCTTTTTAAATTTTCGAACAAATTCAATATGTATTTTAGCCAGCGGTTAATTAATGAGCAGAACAGAGGACATTAACTAGTGGCAGTAAAAGCCATTGTTTTTTTACATTTGTAAGTGCATTTGTTATGCAAGCTACTGTTCACTGCAACAAACTCTGCTTTCCGGCTAACGCTAAAGTTGGAGATTAAAGGTAAACTTTCCCCATTTCTGACTGAAAAATATTTTTTATCATTTCCTTGTACGTCAAAGTTGGAGCCATTTGATGAACCTATGAACGGTTGTTTTCATTGGCCAAACACTCTTTTTTATTTCCATTCAGAGTGACTTTATTGTGGTGGTGGCCATGGCAACTGGTTTGCCACTAGAAAAACATGTCTTATCGTCACGCAGTCTCAGCGTTGGAGGTTGACAGTGATGCTACGGCCTTGAAAGAGACAACTGTTAACTTTCACATCTCAAATTTTACACCGCGTTATCTGATAAACTTCTATTCCACACCACAGGCTCGACTTGGAGATTACTTTGAGATGGAGTATTTCATGTTCACACAACAGGTTTTTACTTTGATGTAGGTAAAAACAAAGAGGAAACACTGGCTGGGTACGAGTTAAATTTAACATGAACTGGGAGAAAAAAAACCCAAGAGATACTCCAACATCAAACTCCCACCGACTGATTGTTTTGTGACAGTTTAATGCTGCTGCAAAATAATGACTCACATGAGTCACCTTTCACTGAGTCTTCACCTGATGAAGAGCAGATCTGTCTCAATATTTAAGGAGCAGGTTAGGAAACTGAACAGAAAGTAAACGAAACAAAATTAAAAATGTGTTATTTAAACTTCCACTGGTGAGAGCAGCACTGGTGCAAAAGTAAAAAAAAAATAAGATAAGGTAAAATTTAGGCAAAGATATAGATATTTTATATTGTGTGTCATGTGGAAAATGTCAAGTTTGGTGAATTGCTGCATTGACCTAATCCATACTCACTGAGACAGGACTTGGTATATTTTTAATTTAAGCCCTAAAAAAAGAGTTCATTTGACACATACTTTACAGAAAAGCAGGGGATCAAAACAGCTCTTTGATGTTAGTGAAGAGCACCAACCATTATTCTACTGAGGCCCAAGTGCAGTGCTCTATAAATGATATTTAGCACTGATAGTAACATGCCTGAGTAAAAAGATGAGCAGCTTTTTTTTTTTATTTGGTTCGAGGATGAATGTTTTTTTTTTATTTGAATTTTTTTATAATTTTTTCAACTACATTTCAACTAAATCATCCTAAAGCTGATGCTTTCACTTCCTCCTTATTTGTTTGATTCTAACTCAAAATGCATGTGAATGTTAGCAAAGGTCATTTCCGACTGGAAACATGCGGTAAAACGTTTTCGTTTCTCACAACCACGTGAAAAATCATCTAAATTCACAGAAGAGTAAATGTCAATCCGGTAGTTTGAGTGACATGGAAACTTCATGAACTTTGCTGGACGCCACAGAAACAAAAGCGTCATCACCAGCCCATAACCACCGGCGAGAAAACAAAAGAACAATTAAACACCTTCTAGACCCAGAGAAACAGCTCTAAAGGCAGAGTGAGCGATGTGGCATTTCTCTCCTCCTGCACTAAACAGCCCAAGGTGTGACTCACGCTGGAATCAATACGATGCCTGCGCAGCACGGCCCAGCCCTGGCCTGGCCTCACCACGCCCTCTGATCTCTTCCTCTCTCTAATCCATCTCTCAGTGGTCCTACACACAGATCCACGGAGAAGACCAGGGATTACAACACAAAGGTCCGGTGTTTGATGCTCCGGTTCGTCATCTGTGGACAATGTTGGCAACTCTCTACTATGCAATAATGATTGTTTATTTTGTATTAATGAGTCAATTAATTCTTACAATATACCATTTGGAGAAAGTGCCGTTACATTTGTCAGGGGATGTTAACTCGCTTTGGTGATGAGAGGAGCAGAGGAACGAAACAAAAAGAAAATCTCATTTAACAGAGTCAAATCACAGGATTTGCTTTGTTGGAAAAAAAAAACAACAACATTCCAACGAATTAGTCACTCATCAAAAGGGTTGAATAATTTATTTGTTAATTACTTATTGACTTTAAGCAACACTGAGAGCATAAGGGTGATACATCACCTACATAGTTTATTAAGGCATTAGTGTGTCGACTGAGCGCAGGGAAAATATTAAAGAAGTAGACGCCAGGGCTGCTTTTTTATATCCTGCAGGGAAAATATTAGACGCCAGGGCTGCTTTTTTATATCCAAACTTAACAAAGGGGTTTTATCTTCTTTTTTTTTTACTTGTTTTTATGACTAAGGACAATAAAACAACCGTTCTGGTTGACAGGGCCATGTTCAGGCTGCATCGGCCTCATACTTCATTCAAATAGTTGTACTCCTAAATACACGCCGAACAAGTGACCGAAATCTCTGAAACCTTTTATCGCAACCAGCTGCACGGCGGCCAGGAAGTGTTATGTGTCTTCCTACCACAGTTCAGCGTCTCATTGTCAAATGTCAGAAATCTGGATCAGAACAAGTTTTATTGTCAGATTTGTTCTGCTACGATATTAGCAATTTAATAAAACACCTGTGGTAGCGCCTTAGCGCCGTCTGTGCTAATGTCTCTTTCAGGTTAAATAATTATAATAGGAACTTAATTGATCCCACACTGGGGAAATTGTTGAAATCTGCTGCAACAGGCTGCCCCCTTGGAGGCGCCAAGTATGTGGTTTGTCTGGGGCTCGTGCCCAGGACCTTCCGAGTATGAGGTAGGCGTGACTAGCACTACACCACAGAACCACAGCACAGTGGATAGATAAGGAGTTTACACCTCATCAAGTCACTTTTTTAGTTGTTTTTCCCAGCGGCTTGGACTTGTGTCCAAAGTGCTACGGAGTGAGAGCAGCAAAACTAGAGTGAAGATCTATGTGGTGGTAGTGAGATCTGCTATGATGGTTGGATATTTGGGCAGAGTAGATGAAAAGGAAGTGGCAGAGCTGCTAATGGGATTAGGAATGAGCTGATCAGAGAAGAATCGAAGGTAGATCAGTCGGGAGAAAAACAGTGGTAGAAGGCCGGGGGAAGATGGTTTGGACACATGCTGAGGAGAGATCGTGGATTTATTGAACAATGTAGAGGAAGGTTAATGAATGTAGTGAAGAAGGGCATGAAGATGGTGGAAGTAAGAGACCAAAATACTCCCGATCAGGATTATCTGCTTAGCTTTTAGATATGAGACCAGACTGACTGTAGGTGTGAGAGTGTATGCTGTTTGTCTCTAAGGCAGATGTGTACAAATTCTGGCTCGGGGGCCAATTGCGGCCCATAGTCAAATTTTATAAGGCCTGCAGCCTTTGTCATAAGATGACCTGAGATGTTAATTTGACCCTCACACATGATCACCTCATCAAATCTGACCCTCTTTGAAAAGGTTTTGGACACCCATGCCTTCAACTATATGTCAGCATGACAACGACTGGCTGCAGCTCCTCCTAATAACATTCAGCAATAGAAAATATGAATTTGTATTTCGAGGAGGAAATGTAAAAATATGTCAGTAAATGTCATTATGTGCTAATTAAATATGTGCTAATTAAATATGTGCTAATTAAATATGTGCTAATTAAATAGGATTAATATCTAAATCTCCACTGCGGACAGTGAGCCTCAAAAGGTCCGACTTCAAACCAGATCGTATTTGTCTGACTATAGGCTGACATGCCTGCCCACCAGTGAACACAGACCTCCTCATCCTGTCTCCTGTTACTGTGCATTATCTGTCTGAATAATAACCAATAACAAAGCCACACCTGCAACTTTTCTCAAATCGAGTCCACTTGGATTGTTCCAAATAAACATGGGTGGTGGTGACGTGCTTTGCTTTTCAAACAAAGATCAAACTGCTGCTCTTACTCACACCTGTTCTCCCAGGGTGACACTGACGCACATACTGCTCTGTGCAATAACAATTGAAATGACATCTCACTCCTTCAGACGCTCAAATCTTCAGGCAAAGGAGGAGGAGGAGGAGGAGGAGAAGAAGAAGAAGAAAAACAATCAGTAAAAACAAATAATGTGATCCAGTCTTAATGCACACGTGTGTGTCTGAGCACATGCGGGTGTTTGTGTCGCCGTGTGTTTGTGGCTATAGAAACGAGGAAAGGGGAAGAGGAGAAGGATGAATGTGATGAAACGGAAGAGAGAGGGCTATCGTGTGTGACATACTGTTTAGGTTCAGTCACACTCGGTTCCAGACACTCCAGCCTTTGTCTTTATGTCACCTTCCCCCCCCCCCCCCCCCCTCTTTCAAAGGAAGATGTGAAGGACAGACACCCAAACCACAGGCAGGAAACAGGATCACCGAGCGGGTAATTTTCTCAGATTCCACTGGGAGACAGCACTAATAACTCCTATTTTTCCCCCCACAGCTTCCACCGAGCTACAGGGATTTAAACAGTATAGTATCTCGCTAACCTGCTACCACGCTGGCCAGCTGCTGTGTCCTGGTGATGGGGTTGACACGGCGTGCCATTACAATGGCTGAAGCTATTTTCCTGGCGTGTCTTTCTTCCCCATATGCAGTGAGGATGGATGCAAGAGCCTGTTGATCCAAGGTATTCACAACGTCAGCAGCGCAGGGCACGTCGAGGTACCTACGCACAAAGAGAAGCCCAATTAAGCTGCTTGACGTCACGTCCTTGCTGAGAGCATTGAATCCTGACAACTCTGAGATGCAGCTGAACACCTTTATGGTTGACAGTTATGAATAGAAAGGATGTAAGAGAATAAAAAAGACCAAGGCAATCTGTGCAAATTCTCACAAACAAACATAAAATCTTTTTCTTTTCTGGCACACTGTGCTGCCATAATTCATTTATGTGTGTGAAAACATTCATTAAAAATTAGATTTTAATCCCAGTGACTCACACGCACACACAGCCACTTACCCAGACACGCAGATGAATATGAAAATAAAAGCACTAATGAATTTTCTTTGTGTGTTCAGATTAATTAACAGCAACAGCATTTTTTAAAATTATTATTTATGATCACTAAAAAAATCCACGATAAACTCAATCTCTCGCAGAGTCTTTATGAGTGAAAAAATGAAAACCAACTATTTTGAGATCTCCATTGTCCTCTGTAGTTTGCAGCTCTCTGTGTCAACAGTTTTATTATTCACTGCTCCAGTGGCCGCTCAGGTGATTTTAAGGCACCGCTGCTTCAGCGTCTTCGTACGGAGAGCAGACATCACATCTCTTACCTGTCTCCATCCATTCTCATATCCAACGGCCCGTCTCTGCTCAGGGAGAAGCCTCTGTCTGACTGATCCATCTGCATGGAGGAGCAGCCGGCGTCCATCAAGACGGCATCAATGCTGCACGGCTGAATGTTCATGTCGGACAGCAGGACCTCCAGCTCACTGAATCTGCCAAGCAGTGGTTTCACACCACTATGGACAACATTCAAAATGAATAAAACATAAACAAAGATAAAACAACTGTTAAAAAATAAATAAATAAAAATACCATGTACACGTGAGTGCATATGGAACAATGTTAGCAAGGTAGAAATAATATAATGACAAAAAAAGTAAATTACAAGATAGGGCCTTTGCATAGTAGTGTAAAATTTGGCTCAACATTTAGGTTTCTGTGCTGTGTTCCTGGTCAAAAAAAAAAATTGTGTTCATCATGTGTTCTGACTTATTTCCTGTGACTGTGATACAGCTGCACAAACTTATTTTACACGTACAGACCTGAGAGAGGACACTTGATTTATATATTCAGTGAGAGTACATGACATACTTGCTTTATGGAAGTAAACATTTTGCAGTGTGTGTTGGAAGAATTGTTTTTGTATGTAAAAAGTTCATTGAGGCAAAATATTTTTGGTGAATTCAGGCTATACCAATACATCTGACTGGCCTGTTTTGACAATTATCATGTTAATTCTAAAATAAATTAAATATAAAATTATTTGTATTTACATAAAAATCGACAGACAGACAGAGAGAACGACACAGACTGACTGACTGACTGACTGAGTGATTGATCGATCCCGAGCATTCAATCAAGACAACAGCTATTTCTTTCTGTAAGCAACAACACTACTCAGAAGAAAACTGCAGTGATGGACCTCAAAACCTAGCCCCCTCAAAAACCTTTGTACTTGCATCATATTGATATTACATGTCTAAAGATCATTATGATCCAACGCCATTGGAAAGTCTGCCACTAGGGCTGAGTAAATGTAGAGCTGTGTATTATCATTCATTGACTGTGGTTACCAGTAAGTAGAGGTACAGTTTCCTCTTTAATGCATAACAAATGTGATTCCATGCATTGTTTTCCATATTTTACTGTTTTAAAAAAAAAGCGAAAATAATCAACTAAAGTCAAAGACAAGACAAATCCGAGCGATAATGTCATGTTTATCTAACTGATTACTCAGCAGTATTTTACCAGCAAAATTACATGTTTGCATGGAACCCAGCTGCATGTCTTGTTGAGATCCGACCATGTTTGAGAGGGGACTATGAACTCAGTCACAGTTCCTGTGTACACCAGCGGTGACATCCTCCAGCCATGTTCATGCATTTTTGATGTGACCTTTTAACACTGTGTGAACACAGATGAGAGCAGAAGGGAAAAAAAGGACTTGAAATCCATACATTTACAAGGTTCCTTATGCATCTGGCTGCCAGGGATGGAAATGGACGTTGGTAAGTTAGGAACCTTACACAAAACGTGGACCAGTACCAGACCGGCATCTTCACTTCGGTCATAGCAAACAAAACAATGGCAGCTGTTATATTCCAAATTTTAATATAACTGAACCTAGTGCTGTCATCCTGATCTCATGTTGTGGATTGGATTTTTCAACTGGATGTTCCTCAAACTTAACTGGAGGCTTTTCCAAAAAAGAACAAAATTAGCAGGTTATCCATCACCAAAGCCAAGACAAGTACCAAGGGAGAAATTTCGCAAATGCTGCCAGGACCTTCTACTGCTTAGCTGTTGCTAAGCACTCTCCTGCACAGTGATTTATGTGTTGACAAATCCATAGTAAGGCTTGGAAAGTCCTTGTTGCTTCCTTCCAATTTATGCACAATATCCTTCTGTTGTTCACCATCTTTATTGTATTTTTCCACTTGGTATTCAAAGTTGCAGGTGCACATTCTTTGGTCAAGGATTATGTATTTTGTTTCGCTACATTCATCTTTATTGATTCTCTTTGGAACTGAACTCAACAAAGGAAATCTAACTACTAAAGTTTTGTGCCAAATCATGATTCTCATTGTTACCTTTTGACCTTCTTCTAGCCTTGGGGTGTCCAATGTACGGCATAAGGCCAGATTGTGACACTCGAAAAACATCCAATGTACGGCAAGAGGCCAGATTGTGACACTCGAAAAACATTTTATTTGTCCCTAATTTGTCTATTTTACCACTTGCTAGAATTAGCAAACAAAAGTAAACGATTTTACCAAAAATGTTTTCACCGCGAGCACAGCTATACCTAGAACACACACGCACACCCCGCTGCACACAAACGGATACAAATCTCATGCTCCCCCTCACACACTCACAAATAGACCGTCGCCCCATGCACACACATATATACACGCACACACCCCTTTGAAATCTCACGCCCTGGCCCCCAGTCACTTTTACACACACACACAAACAGAGACGTCAACCCAACCCCTCCCAGCAGCAGCCACTGCTCTCATCACCTTTAAGAACCTCAAAACACACCTGGACTAAATGAAACTGATTTTGCACTGACATCTTGGATGAATCATGTCATCCACAGACTGTCACTTTTCATGTAGCTGTTTCATTCTATCCATCTATCTATCTATCTATCTAACCATATGATATATATGAAAGTACATACTTTGGTATGTACTCTACCACATTCTCTTCAATAATAGTGTTTTCAAAATCCCAGGAAAAGTAAAAATTAAACATGCAGCCAACTGTAGCATGCTTTTTTTAAGTAATTCAATTTAAAGGCCTGGCATTACATATAGATAAATCACTTATATCACAGGGATATATGAAGCTGTAT